CAGAGCATCTAAATCGGATTGGCGTACTGGACACTGACCTATGCACAAGATGTAATGAAATTGGAAATCTCGACCACCTATTCTTCGGTTGTCAGAACAATAGGAATCAATCTCTGCGACTAATAAACAGAGTAATAGACTTAAATGTACTGACTCCTTTTAACCTCATACATTTATTATCCCTAAATAGAAAGGAGATCTACGACAGCCTGGCTGAATTTATCCATTCAATCAATGTAAACCTATAATCACCTCACATACCCTTGTTTCCTCCCTATTTGTTATATCCCTCCTCTTACCGTGGTCTACCTGTGCACGTGTAAGAAGTCGCCCTGACCGACCCCTGAGGCGTGAAGAAGTGTCCTCTGTGAAGATCCCTAGCATCATCCCACTATAACAGTAGACTTCCAGTTTGGAAAAACATGAATGATGCAAAATCAAACCGATGATCCATCATTCATATAATGCTTAGTGACTGGCTGCATGAACACCTAGTTCTAATGCCAAAAAAAAAAAATGAGTATCACCATACTTCCACTCTTCTCTTCAAGATGAAGTTCTATTTATTCTCAAGAGTAGACCCAACATGTTAATTTCTGAGTAGTTGAAGTTTTTTTCGATAACAGTAACTTCACAAGAAAGACAACATAGAAGTATTTCATCTCATCATGTAATTGGTTTTGAACCGAGTATGAAGATCCATAATGTAGAAGAAATATATCTCCAGATATGTATCACTTTGCATGTATGCATGAAATTCTAGCGTCAAACCAAGCAACGGAGAAAACTACGACAACCATCGTAAAAGAGGTACTTTCATTTTTCTGTAGAGTATTTACGAGAACGGTAGGAACACGTTCAGCTAACTAGAATTAAATTTTGAGATCATACTTTAAATGCATAATTTGTGAGAATTGTTGAGAAATTAAGTCAGCGAGTTACTACACGGAGGAACTCGAGCAAATAGTCGAAGTAACGCAAAAAAAGAGTAAAGAGTAAGTACTTTAACAATAAGTACTGAATATACGAAATTGAGCTTTTTAAACCAAGACTAGATGCATAGATAGGACGATAAATCACTCTGCAGAAAGAGGAAATGCTTCGCGCTAGCTCCTGTCTGGTTAGGGAACTAGGGACAAATGTAGTATGAAATTTGAATTTTTTTTATTCGTGAGATATATCATAGATATTTAACACCCTCGTACATTCAGACTACAGTCTTATCATATCAAATCCAATGGGTCTTGGAAAATAATCTTGACATCAGATGATAGGTACGAGAGACGTACATATGATCGCTACCAGAGAAATATTGAGTCAGAAAAGCGAGTCTAGATCATCTTGCAAGTAAACTTTTCGACATAAATACCTAATTGAAGAAATATGTCTTTGTAAGGTGACAACAAAAGAGAGATTTGATTAAGACCGATGATAGTGCTTATATATGAAAGTATCTGATAAGACAAATTAGAGTCACTTGGTTGTAAAATGCATGTAGGGAACCAAATTAATAAGAAGAAATCATGGTACACAAAGTCAATTATACAGGGTGACTTTGAAGTTGAGTCATTAATTTTCAGATAATGATTGTAGAAGGAAGATAAACCAAAATATGGTGTAAAAATAAAAAAATATAAAAAAAAAATGTTACCTTGTTTAATAAAGTATCGTCCCGACAAGTATTTCAGTGCGGACCTGTATTTGATCGTGCGGTCTTGGAGCACCGGCATGCCCTTTCCTGTGCGGTCTTAAGTCACCTGATTCACGAGCCCTTTGTACTACATTAACAAAGGCACGAGGGGTTGGTTGCACTCGATTGGGAAACCGATTCGCATAAATCCGTGATGCATCCGGGAGCATTTTGTAAAGACTGCCCCCCCGTAAATAAGAATCATGTCCACAAGTTCAGCATTTTCGTAAACATGTGCCATTTTTGATTTCGTTTGAGCCACGCAACAAACACTACTATTCACTAACGCGTTATCGACTGACGAAAAACATCGTGATAAACGTTTCAAATTCTTTCGCTTTTTGTTTCCGATGCGATGACCCGGTCAGGCGGATTATATCCGTTGTCGCCAAACACGAACATATTATTATTGAGACAGGGCGGTACTCAAACTTCTAAAGGGCTATAACTTTGTTACTTTAATTTTACCAGAAAAAATGGTAAAGGAAAAAAACATTTCTTTTGATCAGATCTACTCACTGTTAAAATAAATGACTCAACTTCGAAGTCACCCTGTATAGTCATAATTACGAGTAATGCACCTTAAGTTGTCAGACAGCCACTGATGGAAATGGTCTAATTTAATGGGTAAAAGTCAATAAATGTTATCCATAAATTTTGATTTACATCCACTCTATTTTTTTAGATTCATTAAAGTTAACGATCATGAATAAGGAAAATGTCTGGTGAAACATATGATCAAATATGATTTTCAACATGT